CAGGGCCGCGGCACGAAGGTTCCGCCGCACGACGGTTCCGAGGGCGGCAGCGGCGCGGCCGGGCCTGGCGGCGCCTGTGGGGAGGGCGAGGCCTGAGAGCGGCCTGAGCTCGTCCTGTTCTGCTCGGACCTCCTCAGCTCAGCTTGTGAACATAAACTGATGCAGAATCACCTCCCCCGCGTGGTGTTGTGTCCCTGTCCTGCCCGGACAATGAAGGAAAATAATCCTGAGCTGAGCAAATGCTTGCATGCACCCTGTACGTTTCTCAGACTGTGCAAGGAATCTCGTGTAAACTCTCATTGAAGCAAGCTTTTGCTTCCTAAGAACTTCAGCATTCATCTCAGCAATGTTTAATCCCACAAAAGGTGGCAGATGAAGGATATGAAGGTGAGGGAGAGAATATAATTTGCTGCATATACAGGGGAGCACACACTGCCCACAGGATGTTCCATCCTGCCTGACCTCGACATTAGCAAGAAAACTCTGTCACAGCAAACACACAGAGAAATAGAGTCACTCAGTTACAAGAAAGCCTTTAATGATCTCTAAAAGCTGTTTCTTTCTTAGCTTCAGAACATTAACTCTGACTGGGAGATGTTGGCAACTTGTGGCAGATTCAGATAGACTGAGTTCCAGAAGGTCACAAAGCGTGATCTCAGGTCCTGCTTCACAGCTTGTTGTTGATATCCAGGTAGTATTTGGCCTTGTTGGTGTAGGCTGGCCAGGAAACGGGCACATCCGAATACCCTTTGTTGGGATCACTGGGGAAAAGGAGACACAGAAGCTCAGTTGTGAGGTTTTTGGCAAGAACCCTGTCTGCTCAAGTGAGAATTTAAGTGAGAGGAAAGAGAGAATCTGACAGTGGGACAAGCAATATGAATTCTGCCTGCCAGGAGTGAGCTGATGTCCTGCAGTCTCCTCCCTCCATCCCCACTGGCATCATCCCAGCTTCACATAGGAACTTAATTTCTGTATGAACATCACGATTGAGGAATAAGAAATACAGACATGGAACACTATGATTTTGGGAATGATCCTGACAACTTACTGGACAACACCAGCAGCCTGAAGGGCTGCATCAAGCCCCAAATGTGGAATGAGAATCACTCACCCAGTCCTGGCAAAATTGGTCCAGTAAGCAATCATGGCCTTTGAGACAGTCCTGTGCTTGGGCAGGTAGCCCAGCGGGGTGGCAAAGGGCTTCCCAAACACGTACTGCAGGTCATCAGCATGGTCTGCCCCAACCCAGCTGGGGTAGATGGGCATGCGGGACGGCTGCGAGAACAAGTAGCTGTAGGTCTTGCCACTCCTGGGAAATGAAAGAGACTGGCTGAGCAAGGAGAAAGCAGAAAAAGGGCTGCAGTTTCAAACCAACGCTCCAAATACTGCCAGGGTCAGAGATTCAGCCTTGGAAGATGCCCACATGCATCACCTCACACGGGGTGGTTTCAGGAGAAACACCCTAAGGCCATTTCTAACTTCCATTTCCAGTTCTCGCCCTAACCCTCCTCCATCTGCAACAGCCAGGGCTGAGCTGCTCACTTGGCATTCTGCAGGTGCAGGTCCAGTGCCACCTGTGTGGGAATCAGGAAGATGTAGTCAGTGATCAGCTCCACCACTGTCTTCTTCACGACCTCCTGCTTGGGTTTGTCACCCCAGCTCTGTGTGTAGATGTTGTAGGTGGCGTTGGCTCCAGCCTCGCCCCTGTCCACGGTGAGGCCTTTGATCAAATTGTACACCTGGTCCCTGAAATGACAAGTGATATTAATTAATTACTGACCAGCAGCTTCAGCAAGGGCAGGGCTCCTGCCCGGTCCTTTCTCTTGAAGGCTCTGGACTCGGCAACAAATGGCCTGGGCAGCCAGGCTCGGAGTGTCATCCAGTTTTGAAGGCCGTGCCTTGTCCACTCAAGTCTAACTCTTTGGGGCCTGGGAGCTGCACTGAAGAGCAAATGTCTCCTGTTGAGGGTTCTGAGAGCATCTGTCACTCACGCAGTGACTTTCCGCAGCGGGCCGTTGATGGCGGGCACATCCACGCCGGCAAAGATGTGCCCGTCCATGTCATTGACCCCGGCCAGGTAGTCGATGTCAGCAGCGTTGGCAAAGAGATTCTCTGGCGTGTCTGGGAGGAAATCCCCATCGACCACAGGAGCGAGGGCGAGGCCTGAGAGCGGCCTGAGCTCGTCCTGTTCTGCTCGGACCTCCTCAGCTCAGCTTGTGAACATAAACTGATGCAGAATCACCTCCCCCGCGTGGTGTTGTGTCCCTGTCCTGCCCGGACAATGAAGGAAAATAATCCTGAGCTGAGCAAATGCTTGCATGCACCCTGTACGTTTCTCAGACTGTGCAAGGAATCTCGTGTAAACTCTCATTGAAGCAAGCTTTTGCTTCCTAAGAACTTCAGCATTCATCTCAGCAATGTTTAATCCCACAAAAGGTGGCAGATGAAGGATATGAAGGTGAGGGAGAGAATATAATTTGCTGCATATACAGGGGAGCACACACTGCCCACAGGATGTTCCATCCTGCCTGACCTCGACATTAGCAAGAAAACTCTGTCACAGCAAACACACAGAGAAATAGAGTCACTCAGTTACAAGAAAGCCTTTAATGATCTCTAAAAGCTGTTTCTTTCTTAGCTTCAGAACATTANGCCTGGTCTGAGGGAGTGACAAACTGGGAGACTTTCCCTTGTGAACCAGCTCAGGACAGCCGAGGCACGGGGAGGGCAGGTGCAGGTGCCTTGCTTCAGTTTTCTTACTTTCCAGGGTTACCTCATTTTCTTGGGAACATTTAGACACTGGCTCTTAGACCCTTCAGGAGACAAAGAGCTTTTTCTTGGCCCCACTAAGTGGATGAGAGCAGGCAAGAACATCTTTAGCTTGAGAAAAACAGACTAAAAGAGAGAGAAGCAAGAATAAAAACACAAACCAGAGGCATTCAAAAGATGGATCTTACCATCCCAGCCAGGATGAGGTTGGGGATCTTCCAGAGTCTTTGTAGGGGCGGCAAAGGGAATCCCTCTGAAGATGTCGACGTAGCTCCCAAAGAGTCCCAGTTTCTTACTCTCACCTTCCACAAATCCTCCCTCGGTAAGCACCACACCCAGCTGCAGGTGGTACCATGGAGAAGAGAAAATCCATTGCTCTGTCCTTCAATACTCTGGCTTCCCACATTGCCACGCATTCACATCCTGCCCTCCCTATCCGTACCCTTGGTCCCTTGTGGAAAGACCACAGGTGCCACTGGAGCTGCAGGTGCCCTTTGGAGCAGACAGGCAGCAGCAATTCCCCTACAGTCCCAAAGACAAATGGCAGAAGAAGAAAGCCTTCAGCCTCAGGGTGCAAACCCAGCCTTTGTACTTACGGTCGCAGCCCAGGCTACCCCAAGGTAGGAGCACAGGGCCAAGGCCAGGATGTGCCAGCGAGCCATGGCTAGGGCAGCCCTGAGGGGACAGTCCCAGCTGGAGAGCTGTGTTTATATAGCCAGGAGTGCAGCTGTGTGCCAATGTCATGGGCCAGGCTTGGCTCGGAGCTGAAGCAGGGCAGCCTCCACACCCTTGTCCTTCAGTAGCCTGAGGCCAGTCCATGGCTGATGGGCATGGCTGTGTGAGAGCCCTGCAGGTGCTGCTTGTGTGGGATGGAGGCCAAACAAAGGAAATCTCTCAGTCCATGAAAATTCCAGAGCAATTAAACCAAATGGAGTCTTGAGAAGCCTCATCCAAGCACTGGGGGCTGAAATAATATTAAGCTATGCAGTAGAATGTATTGTCAGCAGCCTTTGAGAAGGTGTGCACCTGTAACACACTGTGGAATGTAAAAGATTCCAAATGACAGCATGCCTTAAATTTGATTCCATTCAACAGCAGCCAGATTGCTCATGGAATTTTCACATAGTCCAGAATTTCTGTCCCCATTTCACTGCCACATCTCTGGAAGGCTTAAAGTTTTCTTCTTCCTTTTATCTCTGCAGCTTCATGGCAGCTGCTTTTTGTCATCTCCACTGCTTGTTGTATTTATCAGAGGGAGGGAAATGGACAGATACAAACAATAGTTTTGAAATTTATCTCAAAGGGAAAACTCAACTGTCAGTGTGCAATACCTTTCCACATTTAATCACAGAGCTGGTAGAACATTTGTTGATAAAAGAAGCAAAGAGGAAAGGATTCATGTGAATTTTATGGTGAAATGAGAGTCATCATAGGAACATACAAAAATGGAGTTTGTGTTCCAGATTTCTAAAAAGGGACTCAGCTGGGTTAACAATGGGTTGGTTTAACTTTGGCCCAACCTCCCTTGATCACATACTTGTAAAAGACTCTCATGGCAACACTGAAGAAAGAAAATTTTAAAATATCCATTCAAAGCTACATGCACACTGACAAAGGAGCTCTGCCCTGTCTGGCAGAAAAGCCTCCAGCACTGATCTGTATGAAATGTGTTGGAACCCTAAAGGCTTCACCCTCTGCATTTGCTCTCCTGGAGCTGCTGCAGCTACTCAGTGGGACAGAGGCAAAGCAAGAGGGAACTGCAGGCACACATTCCATCTGGAAATTTCTTTTCCTATAAAACATGCCAGTGAAGGCCAACAGTGAGAAAAATGAAAGATGTTTCTTGTGGGAGATCTCCCAGATTGTTCTTCTGGCAAAGCCACTTGGGGCCAGGAGGGCACAGGAACACATGGCATCAATCCTAGGAAACCCTGCCTTTGTTCCAGCCCCCTGAAAGTGAGCAGGAGGATGGTTCTGCTGCAGGGGCTCCCTGACCTTGGCTCTCTCTAGGGGTGGGCTCCCCATCCTCAAGCCTCTCTGCATGGAGAACCTTGACACACACACACCAAGGTCCCATCCCCTGTGACACCTCATGCTCTCCTCCCAGCATCCACAGCATGGCACCAATGTCCCACACCAACCCTGGCTTCTCCACATCAGCCAGGCCTGTGGGGCAGTTCCAGCACAGCTGAGTCCCCCTACTCTCCCCACCAGGGTACCAGGGCCTGGACAGGCCAGGTCCAATGTATGGTGTGTGGATGGGGACATGTGGTGGACAAGGTTTGTGGAAAGTTGTGCTCCTTGCCCTGCTCAGAGCTGCAGCTCCTCAGCCCAGTCCAGCCCAACCTCTGCACTAAAACCAGTGGGGAATCACCACCCCCATGAATTTATTCTGCTCCCTCAGTTCCTGAGCAATGGCAGGAACAACAGCAAAGGCAGTTGTTTACCAGTGCATGGTAAACAACAGGTCAGGACTGGTTTGCATTCACTTGTTGCAACTGTAGCACCCTCGGATCAGGTTGGCAGTAGCAGGAACTCTGATGGTAACACAGGGAAATCCAGAGGACAGGTCAGGATTGGGGCTGTCCTGCCTGGGCTCACAGGGGTAATGAGGGAAAACAACCCCAGGGCCAACAGCTGGCTAAGCAGGGAGAGATTGGACCAGCTGCCAGCAGCTTCCCTGAGACATTGGGGTGTCACAGCCAGGGGAACACACACTGCCCACACAATGGGTGTCCTTTCCTGCCTGACCTTAATGTTGGCAAGAAAACCCTGTCATGGCAAGCAAAATGAGAACCAGAGCCACTCAGTTACAAGCAAGCCTTTAATGAACTGTCTTTAAAGGGTTCAAAACATTAACTCTGACTGGGAGATGTTGGCAACCTGTGGCAGCTTCAGATAGACTGAGTTCCAGAAGGTCACATAATCAGATCTCAGGTCCTGCTTCACAGAGTTCTTGTTCAGCTTGTTGTTGATATCCAAGCTTGTTGTTGATATCCAGGTAGTATTTGGCCTTGTTGGTGTAGGCTGGCCAGGAAACGGGCACATCCGAATGCCCTTTGTTGGGATCACTGGGGAAAAGGAGACACAGAAGCTCAGTTGTGTGAGGGCAGCTTGGGATGCAGTTTAAGTACGTGAACATGTAGAGTATTTGACAGTGGGACAAGCAATATGAATTCTGCCTGCCAGGAGTGAGCTGATGTCCTGCAGTCGCCTCCTTCCATCCCCACTGGCATCATCCCTGGCTCCACACAGGGACTTAGGTCCTGCCTGAATACCAGCATTCAGGAGTAAACCTCATCAAGTGGAAGCAGAGATCATAAATGGTCACGAAAATGCCTCTGCCCTCCCCAAGAGTAGGATGGATGAGGAGAACCCAGAGGAAACTCCAGCCCTGTGAGACACAGAGCCCTGCTCTAAACACAGAGAAGTTCTTGGAATGTTCCTGAAAACTCAATGGGCAACACCAGCAGCCTGAAGGGCTGCATCAAGCCCCAAATGTGGAATGAGAATCACTCACCCAGTCCTGGCAAAATTGGTCCAGTAAGCAATCATGGCCTTTGAGACAGTCCTGTGCTTGGGCAGGTAGCCCAGCGGGGTGGCAAAGGGCTTCCCAAACACGTACTGCAGGTCATCAGCATGGTCTGCCCCGACCCAGCTGGGGTAGATGGGCATGCGGGACGGCTGGGAGAACAAGTAGCTGTAGGTCTTGCCACTCCTGGGAAATGAAAGAGACTGGCTGAGCAAGGAGAAAGCAGAAAAAGGGCTGCAGTTTCAAACCAACGCTCCAAATACTGCCAGGGTCAGAGATTCAGCCTTGGAAGATGCCCACATGCATCACCTCACACGGGGTGGTTTCAGGAGAAACACCCTAAGGCCATTTCTAACTTCCATTTCCAGTTCTCGCCCTAACCCTCCTCCATCTGCAACAGCCAGGGCTGAGCTGCTCACTTGGCATTCTGCAGGTGCAGGTCCAGTGCCACCTGTGTGGGAATCAGGAAGATGTAGTCAGTGATCAGCTCCACCACTGTCTTCTTCACGACCTCCTGCTTGGGTTTGTCACCCCAGCTCTGTGTGTAGATGTTGTAGGTGGCGTTGGCTCCAGCCTCGCCCCTGTCCACGGTGAGGCCTTTGATCAAATTGTACACCTGGTCCCTGAAATGACAAGTGATATTAATTAATTACTGACCAGCAGCTTCAGCAAGGGCAGGGCTCCTGCCCGGTCCTTTCTCTTGAAGGCTCTGGACTCGGCAACAAATGGCCTGGGCAGCCAGGCTCGGAGTGTCATCCAGTTTTGAAGGCCGTGCCTTGTCCACTCAAGTCTAACTCTTTGGGGCCTGGGAGCTGCACTGAAGAGCAAATGTCTCCTGTTGAGGGTTCTGAGAGCATCTGTCACTCACGCAGTGACTTTCCGCAGCGGGCCGTTGATGGCGGGCACATCCACGCCGGCAAAGATGTGCCCGTCCATGTCATTGACCCCGGCCAGGTAGTCGATGTCAGCAGCGTTGGCAAAGAGATTCTCTGGCGTGTCTGGGAGGAAATCCCCATCGACCACAGGAGCGAGGGCGAGGGTGTGCACCAGGGGCACTGCAGGACACAAGAGTGGAGTCTGTTAGGACGTGAGGAAACACAGATGTGTGCTCTGGCATCAGACTAGGCTGAGGTGGGCAGTGTTCATCTGCCCACAGAAAGGTGACAGAAAGAGCTCCAAATAAAGTCCCTTTTCTGGAGGGCATAAGCATAACCTCAATGCTCAGAAGTTGACCCAGTGTCCTGCAGGAGATTTGGGGAGCCCAGGGAGGCTGATGGACTAGAGCACAGGCTGGGACACTTACTGGGCAGGTTGGTGAGCTGCATGTGGTAGGCCAGGGTCAAGGCTTTGGGATCAGAGCTGCGCAGGCAGTTGGCCAAGATGGTGGTGTTGTCTGTGGAGCAGCCCATCTTTTCTCCCAGCTGTGGCAGAAGAGAGAGAGAAACTTCCTAGCACTGGTTCCCAAAGCCAGGAGTTATTGTTCTAGAGACAGAGCTGTGGGTTGATTTTAATCTCAAAGCAGCAAATTTCCACA